TAAGTCGGGCTTGTCCCTCCACAGCAGGACAATTCAACAATAGTGTAAAAATAGTTTCGGGATGATGGTTCGACTAATGTTGGCCATGTGTTAAGTTATTGTTGACTATTTCTATTCTTCTTCCAAAATCCCCCCGTAGGAAGACACGTCCGACCTCAGCCTATCGCCGATCTATCGGCGATGCTTCGCCGATGCCAGCTCGCTGTGCTTCCCGCCCGCAGCTGGTGCCCCCCCATCGTTGCCCCTCACCCTCTGATGGGCCTGTTTTCCACCACCACCATAAGTTGGAGGGGAAGGGCTCCTCCTCCTCCACCTCCTCCTCGTCCTCCTCCTCCTCCGTCCATTCGTCCTCCTCCTCGTCGTCGTCCTCCTCCTCCCCCCCGTCAACTTATGGCGGTGGTGGTTGAAAACAGGCCCATCACCCTCTGCCCACCACTGGGGCGCGCCGCGGCCGGCGCGGGGCGGCTGGTGCGGCTGCGCCCGGCGAGGCCGCTGGCGAGCCGCCCACAGCAGAGTGTTCTTTGACCGTCGGCCGAGAGGCGACCATTCATATTTCGCGCGTGGAAACAAGGCGGCAGATTATCCCATCCATCTCAGCTCCCAGACCGCCTCGAGTCATGAAAAAAACATGACGAGAGGTTTTTCGCTATTTTCGGCCTCCGGGGGCCCTTACCGGTCAAAAAACGACTCGGGATGAAAAACCGGTCCCGGGGAATTGGTCCGGACCTCTGGAGGTCGCGTCATGAAAAAATCAGGGTCTGGGCTTGTGGTGATGGGGCACGCTGAGCATCTTGGGATCGAGATCGGCCCCCCTCGAGGGCCGCACTCACGCGTGGAGGTATTCTGACCCGGGATCCCCCCCCCGCCGCACCCCAGGAAGGCGGTATTCTGCCCCGGGACCCCCCCCAAGCACCCCCCCCTTGCCACCCCCCCCCCGGCATGGAAGGGATAAATGGAAGGGGCTCCCCTTCGACTTAACTCAGACCTATATTTTCTTTGTTCCTTAATTTCCTTGGGGCTGACGACCAGGAGGAGGATGACGACGACGACGACGACAACGTCTCCCTCACTCCGAAGAGTCGGCGGATATTTTTATAGATATGCTGCACAGGGACGATGCTAGCCTCCATCTCCTCGCTGCCGCGCCGTGTTCACCGTTTTCGGGTGCGAGGTTGTAGTGGCCAGAGTCTCGAGGCCTGCCCGTAGAGTTCTCACTACTTGCGAGTCATGCTCGTGCTATCTAGAATCATGCCGACACAATGTGCCACCATTGTCGCTTTTGCGCAGGCTCTTGAACGGATGGTGGCGATCCCAGGGCTTCATGAAGGGGTGACGACGACGAATGTACTGCACTTGCGATGGGTGGTTGGTGGAGGTGGAGGGGCCCGCGTCCGTAACAATTCCCCTGACATGTCAACGACGCGTTTTGTTGCTATGTCCTTGCGTGACCCTGCTGATCTGCCCCACTGTCCAGAGACGAGGCTGTCGCTACTTATCTGTTCCTGGCTGCCGCCACATGAGCCCACAGCTGACGCCCATATGTTCATCAGTATGCAGGAGGGAAACGCCATCACAAACACACAGACGTGTCAAATATTGGAGTATTGAAATGGTGTAGATTTAGTTGCGTCCCCTTGGGCCCCGTTCGACGTTGATGCACCCAGTGACATGCACAAACATGTATATCGCACACGCTCACTATTCTATCGTGTGCCGTGTTGCTTGCATGATCTATGTGTATACACAAGATGTTATGGCTCGCTGCGCTTCGCCTTCTGATGTAGACCCTTGCACCTACATGTTTGATTGACTCCACGGTTCGCATATTGATATAGCCGCAGCGTTACTACGACCCATTCCCGAACCTGACGTTGGGCGGGCTAACCTGGCGCAGCCCCGATTTGCAACAGACCCGACGCGTTCCGTCCAAACCGAACGCCAGGTTCGGCAATCGCCCAGCACGAAGGGACGGCAGCTGCGGTAGCCAGTTGCCTCGCGCGGGAGTGGCGCTCGCAAAAGACGGACGTAGCCGAGGCTCAAACGAGAGTACCAGTCTCACACACGGGTGCGGCCGGCGTTGGGTCGGTAGCACAAATCTTGGAAATGGATGTGGTTGGCGCTTGGGCGGAACATCATTTTTCCATGAGGGCTGTGGGAACCGCGCCAGTGGAGCGGCATCACAATAGTCAATGAGGGGCGTGGCTGGCGCTGCGGAATGAGTTCCGCGTTCCATGAAGGATGTGGCCAGCGCGCAGACGGCAGCATGGCTCCCAGACAGGGGTGTGGCCAGCGCTCGGGCGAGAGCGTCAATCCCATCCAGGAATGGGGCTTGTGCGCGACCCGCAGCATCATCTGCAATGAAGGCTGTGGCCGGCTCTGAGGCGACAGTACCGCTCGTATGGGAGAGTGTGGTCAGTGCTGGGGTGGCTACGCCAATATTGGATCAGGATGCGGCCACGGATGGGCGAGAGCACCAATGCCGAAGCTTTGCAACCCGCGCGAGCGAAGCGAAGGAGGAGGTGACGGAGGAGGAGGCGGAGGAGGAGGAGGAGGAAGAGGAGGTGGAGGAGGAAGGGGAGGAGGAGGAGAAGAAGGAAAAGGAGGCGGAGGAGGAGGAGGAGGAGGAGGAGGAGGAGGAGGAGGAGGAGGAGGAGGAAGAGGGGGAGGAGGGGAGGAGGAGGAGAAGTGGGCTGTGGGAAGGCTGAGAAAAAGTGCTAGCGAAAATCCTACGGCCCCGTAGGAAGGCAGGGTTCACATAGCGTCCCCCTGGGAGCTCCACTTGAGGGTCTAGTGTCAAAGTTCGCACGGCGTCGTTCCGCCCGTCTCGGCACACCCATCAAGCGGATCGTGTCCCAGCGTAACGTCACGTCCCCCGCGTATGTCGATTGTCTCCTCACACGGATCGTACCCCACAGGGAGTTGCACGGACGGCCCCAGAACCAAGGTTCGCATCCCGCCGCCTCGCCTATGCCGGCACACCCCTGACCTGGATCGTGAGAGCACACCCCTGACCTGGATCGCGAGTCCGGGGCGTTTGTAGTGCTTCTCAGGGCCTGGCGGCGTTTGTTTGTGGGGCCTTTTGGAGCCCTGAGGTGAATCGTGAATCGGGGGCCTCTTGGAGCCTTGGGAAGCTTCCTGGGAGTCTTTTGGAAGCATTCTGAAAACTCTGGAGGCCCCTTGGGCTTTCTTGGGGGTCCTTTTTGGGCTCTTTTGGTCTGGCTGTGGGCCCTCTTGGGCTGTCCTGGGGCCCTCTTGGGCCGTCCTGGGGGGCTGGGGCCGTCTTGGAGCCCTCTGGGGGCCCCCTTCGGCCGTCCAGGGGGCCTCCTATAGCCCTCTTGGAGCTCCCTTGTGGCCCCTGTGGGACCCTCTGGGGACCCTCTGGGCCGTCTTGCGGCTCTCTTCGGCTGTCTCGGAGCCCTCTTGGGCCGTCTTGGGACTTTCTTGGGGGCCTCTTGGGCCATCAGGTGCCCCGTGGGACTATCTTGGTCGCTCCCCTGGGCGTCTGTGGGGCGCGCTGCACGCCGTCTTGGAGCCAACTTCGGCGTCTGGGTGCGGACCTAGACGCCATGACTCATTATCGTTGGCGGCCTCAGTGCGGCGGCATTGCCAGACGATGGTTGCGACCCTTTGCGCATTGTTCCAACACCATTAGCTTGCTCACTCTCTTCGCTCCTTTGCCCTCCGCCGATGCCATCTTGTGTGAAGCTTCTGCGCGCAAAATGTTTCTGCACCCACGTCCTTCAGCGCTTTGGAAGTTCAGTGGAGCCCCGCGAACTGTTCGAATGACGGATGCGCTATCGTCGCCACCGTTATCTACAGTTCGCATGGGCTCACGACAGCAAACCAGTCCATGTAAGTGGTGCCGCAGGTTCAAAACATTATGTATGTATGTATGTATGTATGTATGTATGTATGTATGTATGTATGTATGTATGTATGTATATATGTATGTAGGTAGGTAGGTAGGTAGGTAGGTAGGTAGGTACGGTAGGTAGGTAGGTAGGTAGGTAGGGTATGTATGTATGTATGTATGTATGTGTGTTTGTATGTATGTATGTATGTATGTATGTATGTATGTATGTATAAAAATTATAGGTGTGTATGTATGTATGTATGCATGCATGCATGCATGCATGTATGTATGCATGTATGTATGTATGCATGTATGTATGTATGTATGTGTGTATGTATGTATGCATGTGTGTATGTATGTATGTATGTATGTATGTATGTGTGTATGTATGTATGCATGTATGCATGCATGCATGCATGTATGTATGTAAGTATGTATGTATGCATGCATGCATGCATGTATGTATGTATGTATTTATGTAGGTAGGTAGGTAGGTATGTATGTATGTATGCATGTATGTATATGTGTGTATGTATGTATGTATGTGTGTATGTATATATGTTTGTATGTATGCATGTATGCATGTATGCATGTATGCATGTATGCATGTATGCATGCATGTATGTATGTATGTATGTATGTATGTATGTGTGTATATATGTGTGTATGTGTGTATGTATGGATGTATGTATGTATCTATGTATGTATGTATGTATGTATGTATGTATGTATGTATGTATGTATGTATACATGCATGTATGTATGTATGTATGTATGTATGTATGTATGTATGTATGTATGTATGTGTGTTACCCATCTGCCTCCTCGTGGTCCTTCGCTTTCTGATGTTCCTCGGTCTCTGCCCATCCTGCCCCTGACCCCATTCTAGTCTCCCTCCATCTCCTCCCGCTGCTTCTGCTGCTCGCCGCTCTCCTTCCTCGTCGCCTTCCCCCCCTCGTCCCTGCGCTCCTCCTCGCGCTCCTCTCCCTCGCCGTCCCCCTTCGTCCCCCTTCGCCCCCTTCGTCCCCTTCGTCCCCCATCCCCCATCCTCCTCCCCATCCTCCCCCGGTGCCCCAGCCCCCCCTCTCCGCAGGAGGAGCCCGCCCGCGCGGCGCTCGCGCCCGGCCGCGCCCGCGTCGAGAACGCCATGGGGGTCACCCTGGCGGTCTGGGTGGAGGGCGCGTCTGGAACGGGCGGCCTCGTGCACGTCGGGTCGCGGGAGCACCTGGACGTCGAGGTGGCGGCGCTCTCGCGGGTCGCGAGGGTGGCGTTCAGGCTCGGGGGGGGCAGGGGGGGGAAGGGGGGAGGGGGGACGTGGAAGCAGGGAGGAGGAGGAGGAGGAGGAGGAGGAGGAGGAGGAGGAGGAGCAGGAGGAGCAAGAGAAGCCGGAAAAAAAACAAAAACGGAGCAGGAAGAGGAAGCGGGGAGGAGGAGCGGGATTCGGAGGACGGGAGCCGCGAGGATGAGGAACAGGAGGAGGACGGGGGGGAAGCTGGCCGCGGGGGGGGGGGCATGGCTGCGTGTGTCACGGGTCACAGGCCTTGAAGCCCCTGGCAACCGCAACAGGAAGAAGATGGGAGGGGCACGGGGAGACGGAAGAGGAGGAGGAGGTGGAGGAGGAGGAGGAGGAGGCCGGCAGGGTCAGCCGCAGCAGACCGTAGGAGACCGCAGCAGTGCAGCAGACCGCAGACGAAGGACGCCAATTTCCCTCCTCGATCTCGGAGGAAGGAGAAGCGGCACCGCCGCCAGAGATCCACCCCCAGCGAGGAGGTCCACGCTAGCCTCCCCGCGCCTGAGGTTGGAGGTGCCTGGAGCGGGGCGCCGAGGAGGAGCCTCTCCACACCGCCCGCTGGGATCCCCTCCCGTCGGGTATAGCCAGGGCCCCGGTTCAGGAGAGCTGGCTAGCGATTGGGCCCCGAAGTCCAAACGAGATGGATGGGAATTCCTGAACCGGGTCTGCCGTAGCTGCTTCTTTCGCGCGACGGCAGTTCCGGTCAGTAGAAGGGGGCGTGGGGGGGGGGCCTGGTACACATCACTGAACCAGGTCACGCGAAACCCAGCCTTGCCAACGCCCGATCCCGGTCTGCCCGCCCCCCTGCGATCCCAGACCCCCGACGTCATGAATTTTTCATGACGCGACCCCCAGAGGTCCGGACCTATTCCCCGGGACCGGTTTTTCATCCCGAGTCGTTTTTTGACGGTCCTGAGGGCCAGTAAGGGTCCCCAGAGGCCGAAAATAGCGAAAAACCTCGCGTCGTGATTTTTTCATGACTGGAGGGGGTCTGGGATGGTGGCGATGCCGTCTTCCCCCTGCTCCTGCCTCAGGCGTGCGGGCGACGCTCGGATGTTCGTGCTCCCCGCCGGCATGGTCCTGACCCTGGGGAGCGAGGCGGCCGCGCCTCACGACGGCGACGAGCCGGGCAGCGCGCTCTCCGTGGACGTGGGCGACGTGCACTGCTCCGCGCGGCTGGAGGCGCCGGGCGCCGAGCGGGGCAGCGGCTGCGCGTCCTGGCCGCTGCTGCCGGGGCCGCTGCTGTGGCGGCTGCCGAGGAACGGCTCGGACACGGAGCTCACGGTGGGCTCCGTCCTGCGGATGAGGCAGGGCGACATCACGCTGAAGGTGGTCAGCAGCCGCGGCACCGACTGGCGCGGCTGCCCGATGGCCCGGGTGCGCGTGGTGGAGGGCGGGCTGCAGGCCGGCAAGTATTTCACGGGCGGCTCGATGTATCTTGCGAAGATCGTGCCCAGCAAGCGGGCGGCGAAGGAGGCCGCCGCCGCCCACAAGCGCGTGGGCGGCGGGTTGCTGGGGAGCGTGCGGCAGCTGGTGCGCCTGGAGGGCTTCTGGCAGGTCGAGACAGGTGCTTGGCTGGTCATTATGGAGGACGTATCTCGCCCCTGGCATCCGTCTCCCCGTGTTCCTCCTCCTCCTCCTCCTCCTCCTCCTCCTCCTCGTCGTCCTCGTCCTCGTCCTCGTCCTCGTCCTCGCCCTCCTCCTCCTCCTCCTCCTCCTCCTCCTCCTCCTCCTCCTCCTCCTCCTCCTCCTCCTCCTCCTCCTCCTCCTCCTCCTCCTCCCCCTGCGCGAGCCTTGGAGGACTTTGGCGAGACCGCTCGCGAGTTCTTCGGCCGCGGGCGTTTGCTGTCGGCAGAGGACGCGGACCGCTGCGCCGCAGACTTGCTCGCAGGGGTGGCTGCGATGCACCAGCACAGCCTGTACCACCTGGCCTTGTCGCCCATCAGCGTGCACCTCGGCCGCGACGGGCTCGGGCGGCTGCGGCTGAAGCTGGCCAACCTCGGCGTGGCCGAGTGCCCGTCACAGCCGCTGCCGCGGAACTACACGCCTCCGCAGGGCTTCCTCGCCCCCGAGCTCGCCGCGCCGCGGAGGCTGCGCGCCGTGGCGGAGGCGTCCGTCGAAGGCCTGGGCCCGGGCGGGAAGAAGGAGGCGCCCGGCGAGCTCGCACGGCTGACGGCCATGCTGGCGGAGATGAGCGCCCAGCTGGGGCCCCTGGAGTCGCTGCCGCTGCTCCCGTCGCTGCGGCCGCGCGGTCGCGGGCCGCAGTCGGACGCGGCAGGCCCGGCCGCGGGCGCGGAGGAGGCCGAGCGGCTCGCGAGGCGGGAGCGGCTGCAGCTGCTGCGCGAGTTCGAGATGTTCCTGGAGCTGCCGCGCGCGAGCCTCGACCGCCTGGCTCGCGAGTTCGAGGGCCCCTTCCAGGTGCCGGCGGGGCGCGTGCTGTTTCGGACCGGTGACCAGGGGGACTCCAGGAGGGGAAAAACACAGCGACACAAGTCATCGTCGACTCCCAAGACAAAAACTGGAACATATGGGAAGTGTGGGGGGGGAAGACGACGACACCGAGAACATGGGCAAGCAGAGGGGACTCCTAGGACTCGTGTGTATATTTCGTGGTGCGTCCCTGGGCCCCTTCAGGACTACTTGTACTTTGTGCTCGCCGGGGCCATCGTCACGTGGCGCGGCCGCGGCCGCGAGCTCTCCCGCTACAGGCGCGGGGACTTCCTGGGCGAGGCCGCGCTGCTGGGCTCCACGCCCTCGAGGCGGATCTTCACCGCCTCGACCCGGCGCGGGGAGGGCGGCTGCGCCGTGCTCCGCATGAGGCACTCTCGGGTGCTGCCAGAGGTGCCCCCGGCCCAAGGCTTGAGTCGGGCCGGTCCCTCTACAGGGGGAAAATTCAAAAACAATCCAAAAGTAGTCTGGGGACTCTATTTTCAGTATTTCTGACCATGTGGGAGCATTTTGTAAGTATTTTGCTACTTTTCGTCGAACATCCCCCTGTAGGGGGACACGCCCGACTTATCCCAGGGCGCTCCCCCCCTGGGGATGTCTACGGAAGAGGCCCCGCGGCCTCCTCAGAGCGCCCCCAGCACGAGTCCCAGAGGACCACAGGGGGCTCCGAGGTTGAGCGAAAAGCTTGGGTGCACCTTGGGGCAGGGACGGCCAGGAGGGGTTGGGCCGGACGAAGGGGGGGGATTGGGCAAGGGTGGGTTACGAAATTTGCTGCGTGCAGCTGGTTGTGGCCTCTCCGAGGGGCCCATTCCTCGATACATCGCCGCCTCCAGCTCCGGGAGGTGCCGGGAAAATGAGCTACGTGAGCTGATTCTCAAACCCCCCCTTTGCTATCCCCCCCTTTCGCCCGACCCGAAGGGGGGTGACGACCAGGGGAGGGGGGATGTCAGGGCCGGGGCCACGATGCTTCTGCAGATGGCATGGCCCCTCCTCTCCGTTCAATGCGTCCCCGCCCCCCCCCTTCCCTAGGGCCGCGCACGTGCCGCCGGCCATGAGTTGCGCCCCCACCTCTTCGACCCCCCCCTCTTTCTGGGTGCCCGACATGGGTACGGAAGGAATGGGCACAATGCCCAACTGCAGTTCCTGTTCACTTCGAGCAGGACTTGTTGTCCACGCCGCCGTGGCCTGTGCCCATTCGAGACAGACGGCCGCCCGCCCAACAGCGGCCGCTGCTGGTTTGGGACAGCATGTGTTGTTGGGCACTGCACCCAGGCTTTCCGTGCCCATTTCGGGCGTCCAGACTCTTGGCCGCCCCCGACCTTGGGCCCGGGGCACCCTTCGCAGCCCCCTGCGCTCCCTCTTCGCCGCGCACGTGCGCAGCGCGCAGAGCCCGCTCGTCGCGCTCGTGGCGCCCGCCCGCTGGCGCTTCCTCTCGGACACGCGCGTGCCCCTCGGGGAGCCGCGGGCGGCAGACGTCTTTGCCGCGGGCGCCCTGTGGGTGGAGCTGGTGTCCACGCGGGGGGGCTCGTCGCTGCGCGTGCGCCGGGCGGCGAGCGTGGAGGAGCTTCAGGGGAGGAACAGGTGCCGACACTCAGGGGCGGCAAAGAGGGGGGTGATGACTAGGGGGGGGGGGGGAGATCACGGCGTGGGCCATGATATTTCCCCAGATTTTATGGCGCCTCCTCTTGTGGTATAATTTCCCCAGCACCCCCCCTGGGCCGCGCACGTGCCGCCCCGGTCATGATGTGCACCCCCCCCTCTTGGACACCCCCCTCTTGGCCGCTTCAGAGATACCGCTGCCCTTCCCTCGTTTTCGGCTGCTTGGGACCTACTGGGAGGCCCTCGTCGCCACGGCTGGATTCGCCTCGAAGCTCTGGCCAGAACGCTCCCGGGGAGAGGCCCGGGGAGCAGCGGAATCCAGCCCTTTTGGGTTTCCCCAGGAACTGCGGACGCTCGTGTCGTCGTTCGACATCGGGAACTTCTACTTCACCGTGCAGGAGCGGCGCATCGTGGCGCTCATCACGCTGCTGCTGCGCCGGGCCTCCCCGGGCGAGGCACTCCGGTGCCTGGAGGAGTGGGGCGACTTGCCAAAGGGGTGGCCACCAGTGGGTGGCCGCCACCTCCTGTTGGGAATCGAAGATCGAAGAGTCAAGCAGTTGCGAAGCGTCCTGGCTCGCCTATAGGCCCACCGGTGTTATTAGAACAATTCTGGCTGGGACTCTCTTGCTTTAACACATGGGCATCATGTTCTAAGGAAACTGTGGCTGTTTTTCGATCACTTGTGGGTTCTAAGCATAATTCGTGGTAGACTTAAAGAAATGCTGGGACGGTCGGTCTCTGCTCAAAAGAGGAGAGATGATGGAGGATCGAGGAGTGTTTGGCGATGCCAAAAAATGGGCTGCCACAAGGGATCGGCCGCCACCTCCGATTGGAATTCGAGGATCGAAGAGGACCGAGGAGGATCCAGGATCGAGGATCGATCGAGGATTGAGCCTCTTTGGAATCGAGGATCGAATCGATGGAGGATCGAGGAGATTCGCTTGGAGGTCTCTGGGCGTCGTTGGGAGTCCTTGGGTATGGGGAGGTGTCTGGAGCGCCCAGAGGGGTTGTCAGTTTTTTCTGGAGGAGGCGGCGGCTCCCTTCTCAGCGGTGACCCCCGGAGCTCCCCAGGCCCCAGACGTCATGATTCTTCAGGGCGTGACACTCCTCCTCCTCCTCCTCCTCCTCCTCCTCCTCCTCCTCCTCCTCCTCCTCCTCCTCTTCCCCCTCCTCCGTTTCCCCCTCCTCCTTCGCCTCCTCCTCCTCCTCCTCCTCCTTCGCCTCCTCCTCCTCCGCTTCTTCCTCCTCCACCTCCACCTCCGCCTCCTCCTCCTCCGCCTCTTCATCCTTCTCCTCCTCCGCCTCATCCTCCTCCTCTTCATCCTCATCCTTCTCCTCCTCCTCCGCCTCAGTCTCCTCCTCCTCCTGCTTCTCCTGCACCGCCTCATCCTCCTCCTCCTCCTCCTCCCTCCTCCTCCTCCTTCTCCTCCTCCTCCTGCTCCTCCCCCTCCTCTTCTCCTCCTCCTCCTCCTCCTCCTCCTCCTCTTCCTCCTCCTCCTCCTCCTCCTCCTCCTCCTCCTCCTGCTCCCCCTTCCCTCTCTCGTGCATCTCCTCCGCTCTCATCACGTGACCCCTGGAGTGTCTGGACCCTTTTCCAGGGACCGGCTTCTCATCCTGAGTCGTCCTGTGGACGGTCCTAGGGCCGGGCAAGGGCCCCCAGAGGGGTTGCGGATAGTGTCAAGGTCGGGCTTGTCCCTCTACAGGGGGAATATTCAAAAATAGTCAAAACATTGTCAGGGGATGATTTTTGATTATTCTCTCATTTTTGGGCTTTTTTATAATTTTCAATTTTTCATCGAAAATTCCCCTCTGTAGGGGGACAGGCCCGACTTAAGAACAGTGAGAACTGTCCGTCGTGAGTTCTCAGTGGCCCTCGAGGGGGGGTCTGGCTTCACCGCCCACCGAACCACCCGATCCCAACCCGATGGCCCCGATTTGCCCTCCATTTCCAGTGGGGGTGGGTATGGGGAACATTGCAACACAAATATATGAAGCCCGTACAGTCGGGGCGCTGAAGAAGGCAGGAACCGCTATCGTTGGGGAAGGGCCCTGTGTTCCTTGATTGTCGTGCAGTTTGCCTTAGGCTTCCCTGAGGCCCTCCATGGGGAATCGAAGCTCAACTTCTGGGGAAAAGGGGCCTCGTTCCTTCAGCGCCCCGACCGTACCCCTCCCAACCCGAAATTCGGGTCTGCGGGTCGGGTTGGAGGGGGTCTGGTGGGCAGTCCGGCGCTGCCTCGAGGAGGCCGGCGGCAGCGGCGGGGGCGCCACGGAGGCGGGCCGCCCCGGGCACTCCCACAGGGAGCGCCCGGAGGGCCCCGGCGAGCGCCCCCCGGGCGGAGGGCCCCTCGCGGCCGCGGCCTCGGCGTGGGACGCACTGCAGGGCAACCTGCGGTCCGCCTTCGAGCTCACGCCCGCCTCGGAGGCAGGCAGAGTTTAGTCGGGCCTGTCCCCCTATAGGGGGAGCAATCAAAAATAGTCCAAAAATAGTCTGGGGACGATTTTTTGTGTACGTTTTTTGACCATTTTGAGGTATTTTCCGGTATTGTAAATTTTTCTTCCGGAATCCCCCTGTAGGGGGACAGGCCCAACCTAAAGGCAGAGGTTCGAGGCCTCCAGGTCGGGGTCCGAGTGTAGGTGGTGTCGCAGGATCGCGCCGAAGCGCCGATGCTTCGGCGATGCGGCTCGATGTGGAGTCCAGCTTCCTCCACGCTGACGTCACCGGTGCATCGCCGATGTCGCCAGTGCATCGCCAATGGATCAGCGCTGCATCGCCGATGCATCGGCGGTGCGGCCGGTTCCTCCGACCCCATCTACTCCGACCCCATCTAGGAGGCCTCTTCAGGAGGAGAAGGTGCCGATATTGCTATCTCTTCCCAGTTTTCAGCTTTCTGGGGGCCTCCTGGGAGGCCCTCGTCGCCACGGCTGGCTATTCGCCTCGAGGCTCCGGCCAGAACGCACCCCGGGAGAGGTCCGGGGAGCAGCGGTCTCGGTGCTTTTGGGTTTTTCCAGCCAGGGCCCACTGTTTCAGCCGATCCGATATCGCCCCGACGTGGCGGTGTTTCGCCTGGCCCAGCCCTGTTCGATCCCAACGCGGCAGCGATCCCCACAGCGGCCCGGTGTCTGTTTGGCACTGCTGCTGTGCAGCCCAGCGCGGCCGACCCGAGTCGAATCCGACGTCGTGCCGCTGCCGCCAGATCTGGCGCGCGCTCCGATGTATACCCGATCCAGGAGGAGGAGAAGGAGGAGGAGGAGGAGGAGGAGGTTGCCTAGCGCGATGCTGACCTGATTCTGCGGAGGCGGCGTCCGACGCGGTGCTCCTCGGCGCTCGTGCGCGGCAGAGTTTCCAAGACCAGGTGGACCGCCTGTTCAACGACGTCACCTACCGGCGAGGTCAGCTCTACGGCGAGATCCTGGGCGACATCTACGGCGGCCTCTTCGCAAAGGACCTGCTCTGGATGTTCCGTGAGCCCTCGCGCACGCCCAAGTTCCCGGTGTTGCTCGTGAGGGACGCCGAGATGGGCAGCCTGCCCGCGCGATGGTACTCCAATCGATGATCCTTAGGGCGTGCGTTAGCCCAATGTGTGTGTTACCCTTTTCAGCCCAACCAGTAGATCATTACATCGCCTGCGTTATATCGAAGGTTCTCGATGGACAAACACACGGTGGGGCTAAACCACGTTCTGAGGATTATCGATCCAAGGCCCAGGCACGGTGGACCGTTGCCGAGGTCGGAGTTTGCACACGTCGGCGGCCTGGGGAGCCGATGCCTCAGGACCCCAGTGAGGCAATGGATTTGATGTTCCGGGGGCCCCCTCTCCCAAAGCCTGAGAATGCAAATCCATCATTTGCCTCTTAGTGTGTGTGTGTGTGTCTGTGTGAGTGAAGACCGCTCCTCTCCTCCTTCTACCCATCCATCCTGCAAGCCTCTCGGCTCAGGCATTGGACAGTGAGCCCGATGATCATCGGGCCGTGGAAAGTGCGCTTTCACTCTCTCATCTCATCCTCTACAAAGGGTTTCGAGGGTAGGTTCGACCCTTCGAGTCGTAACCTCCGTTCGCTCCGAGGGTCGAGGGACATCGGTTCCAAAGGCGGCGGAATGCATGAATTCTTGCTTCCAGCTCTCGCCCTCATCCCAGGCGTGCATCGAGTAGGATATCGACTGCAGGAACCAGTTGCCCCTCATTCCCAACCATCCTGTGGTTTTGGGTCCTCGTTTTGAAGACACGGTGCCCCGCGTTCCTCCTTCCTTCCTTCCTTCCTCCTCCTCCTCCTCCTTCTCCTCCTCCTCCTCCTCCTCTTCTTCTTCCTCCCTCCTGCCTGCGTTTCACCCACCCAGTACAGCGCTTCGTGGCCCCATAGGGAGCTGCACCGAAGGCCCCAGTGGCAGGGTTCGCATGGCGGCCCCGCGCCATTTTGGCGCACCCCTCACACGTTTCGTGGCCCCATAGGGAGCTCCACCGAAGTCCCCAGTGGCAGGGTTCGCATGGCGGGCTCGCGTTTTGGCGCACCCCTCACACGGTTCGTAGCCCCATAGGGAGCTCCACCGAAGGCCCCAGTGGAAGGGTTCACATGGCGGCCCCGCGCCATTTTGGCGCACCCGTCACACGGTTCGTCGCCCCATAGGGAGTCATCGAAGGCCCCAGTGGCAGGGTTCGCATGGCGGCCCCGCGCCATTTTGACGCACCTCTCACACGGTTCGTGGCCTTATAGGGAGCTCCACCGAAGGCCCCAGTGGCAGGGTTCGCATGGTGGCCCCGCTTCATCTTGGCGCACCCCTCACACGGCCCGTGGCCCCATACAGGGCTCCACGGAAGGCCCCAGAGGCAGGGTTCGCATGGCGGCCCCGCGACATTTTGGCGCACCCCTCACACGGCTCGTGGCCTTATAGGGAGCTCCACCGAAGGCCCCAGTGGCAGGGTTCGCATGGCGGCCCCGCCCCATTTTGGCGCGCCCCTCACACGGTTCGTGGCCCCAAAGGGAGCTCCACCGAAGGCCCCAGTGGCAGGGTTCGCATGGCGGCCCCGCCCCATTTTGGCGCACCCCCTCACACGGTTCGTGGCCCCATAGGAAAGTCCCCTTGCTTCGTCCCACCTGCCTTGCGGTTCTCACACTTGCGTATGGCCGGGTCTTTCGCCAGGATAATTGTTTGTTTTTCGCGTCGAGCCTGCGAAACAATTGCTCGTTTGAAGATTTGCGATTAGTCTATGTATTTTTGGTTTTAGATTCGGCGCAACAGCAGTTCTGGGCCAATCGATGTTGTAGCCCATCTCCTACTCGAATGCAGGAGGCTCGCCAGGAATGTGCGGGGGCGCTGCGAAGGGCTCGGGTCCCAGGCCCCCGGGCTCTCCCCAGGGCTCTCCATGCCGAGGCTTCTCCCACTGGCCCCAGTGCCCGCTGGAGGGCCCCAAGGAGACCGACAGCGACGAACGAAAGTCCAAAACACGCCTGTCCGCCTCCTCCGCCTCTTGCTCCTCCTCCTCCTTCTCCACCGCCTCCTCCTCCTCCTCCTCCCCTCCTCCTCCTCTTCCCCCTCCTCCTCCTCATCCTCCTCCTTCTCCTCCGCCTCTTGCTTCTCCCCCTCCGCCTCCTCCTCCTCCTCCTCCTCCTCCTCCTCCTCCTTTCCTCCTCCTCCTCCTCCTCCTCCTCCTCTTTCTCCTCCTCCTCCTCCTCCTCCTCCGCCTCACCCTCCTCTCCTCCAGGACACGCTTCCCCCCGGATGAAGGCGGCACCGGATCTTCTTGGTGTGGCTCCTCGGCGTCAGTGGGTGTCGTCGGGAGCGCGCGCACGAAGCCCGCGTTCGGCTGCAGGAGGAGGAGGGGGCGGGGGGCCGCCTGGGCGGGGGCCGCCGCTCCTCGGCCACCAGTGGCCCCCCCTCCCCCTCGCCCCCACTCCTCGAGGGGGGGGGGAGGGGAGGCAGCGAGGAGGAGGAGGAGGAGGAGGAGGGAGGAGGAGAGGAGGAGGAGGAGAGGAGGGAGGAGGAGGAGGGGGGAGGTGCTCGCCCCGGGTCGGCCCCGCGGGCCCGCAAGGTACATCGCCGCGCTCGCCGTCTTCGAGAGCGAGCTATGCCGCCGGACGCTGCCGCAGGTGCTGTCGCCTTCCCCGGCCCTTTTCCTCATCCGCTATGCCCTTCCTCCTGGTCCGCCTCTCCCTTCTGCTCCTCCTGCTCCTCCTCCTCCTCCTCCTCCTCCTCCTCCTCCTCCTCCTCCTCCTCCTCCTCCTCCCCTTCCTCCTACTCCTCCTCCTCCTCCTCCTCCTCCTCCTCCTCCTCCTGGTCCGCCTCTCCCTCCTCCTCCTCCTCCTCCTCCTCATCACCATCATCATCACCAGCAGCATCATTCCCGTCATCATCATCAACATCACCATCATCATCACCATCATCATCACCATCATCATCACCATCATCAACATCATCAACAGCACCATGATCCGAACTAGGGAATTCGCCTCGAACCTGGTTCTTGTAGGACCAAGATGGGAGCGGGCCTGAAACGCGAAGCGGGGAGTCGGGGCCGACCGGGAATTCCGGTGGGGATGGGAATTCCGTGGATTCGTGCGCACGAAGAGGGCGAAGCCGGAAATGTTGCGGTCACGAATGAGGGGATGTCGCCAGCGAAATTTTGGCGTCGTTGTTTTTTTCTCTCGTGTCCGGTCTGCTGCTGGGAGGGGAGGAGGGAGGCGCGGTCGGGCGGGCCTCTGTCGCCAGCGACCCCCTGGTAGCGACCCCCTGGTGTCGTCGTTCTCTCTGGTGTTCGTGGCGCTGCCCAGGGCACTCGCCGTGCGGGTGCCCACGCGGCGCGATGATGATTCGTTGTCGTCGCGTGCGTCGTCCATGTCGTCCATGTCGTCGTGGTCGTCGTCATCGTCGTCGTCGTCGTCGTCGTCGTCGTCGTCGTCCCCGTCGTCGTCGTTCGCGACGTCGTCGTCGTCGTTGGTGTCGCAGTCATCGTCGTCGCTTCCCGGGCGCCGTCGTCGTCGTCGTCGCAGGTGAGGCCGGGAGGGGCAGGCAGGCGGCGCGGGCGGACACGCGCGCGGGCGGGCGGCCAGCGGGCCACCGGGCCGCCAGGCGTGCGGGCGTCTCGGTGGCGTGCGGGCGAGCGGGCGCGCAAGCGGACAGCCGAGCGGGCGGCGGGGCGGGCGTGGCAACGGCCGTGCGCGGGCGCGCGCGCGGAGGCGGGCGGGCGAGCGGCCGGGCGGCGTCGTCGTCGCCGCCGTCGCCGTCGTCGTCGTCGCCGTCGTCGTCGTCGTCGTCGTCGTAGTCGTAGTCGTCGTCGTCGTCGTCGTCGTCGTCGTCGTCGTCGTCGTCGTCGTCGTCGTCGTCGTCGTCGTCGTCGTCGTCGTCGTCGTCGTCGTCCCCGTCGTAGTCGTCGTCGTCGTCGTCGTCGTCGTCGTCGTCGTCGTCGTCGTCGTCGTCGTCGTCGTCGTCGTCGTCGTCGTTTTCGTCGTCGTCGTCGTCGTCGTCGTCGTCGTCGTCGTCGTCGTCGTCCGCGCGATTCCGCCACCACTTCTTGGCGAGCGCCTGGGAAGGGGGTAGGGGTCTGAAGCGTTGGTCGGGGGGCGCCCAGGGAAGGGGTAGGTGTCGTGGAGCTCTGATTCGGGATGCCCTGACACGTTCTTCCTTCACTTCTTCTTCTCGTCGTCGTGCTCCATCTTTTTCTTCAAACCACACCTGAAACCCCTGAAGCCCATTCTTCTCGATTGTCTCCCGCTATACCTTACGGGCAAGACGTTCAACTAGGGACCACTTCGGGCCCAGGAGGGGCCCCTTCTCCTCCTCCTCCTCCTCCTCCTCCTCCTCCTCCTCCTCCTCCTCCTCCTAGTCCTCCTCCTCCTCCTCCTCCTAGTCCTCCTTCTTCCCCTCCTCCTTCCTCGCTCCTTCTCTCCCTCCTTCTCTCTTCCGACCGGTGCTGCCGTCTCTGCGCCCAGCCTTCAAGGGCGGCTTCGAGATTGGGGCCGCCGTGGGGCGCAACCGGGTGGCGACCCTCAGACGGCGCTGGTCCAGCACTCGCGGCTCGATCGGGTCGCCGATCTGCGCGGGGGCGAACAGCCTGCTTGCAGCCGGGCGGGCGCAGCGGCAGCCTGCTTCTGGGCAAGGCGGGGGGGGGGCCTTTCCGAAAGGCTTAGGCGACCCGTCCTCCTTCTCCTCTCCTCCTCCTCCCTCCTCCTCCTCCCTCCTCTCTCTCCTCCTCCTCCTCCTCCTCCCCTCCTCCCTCCTCCTCCTCCTCCTCCTCCTCTCCCTCCTCCCTCCTCTCCTCCCTCCTCCCTCCTCCTCCTCCTCCTCCTTCCTCCTCCTCCCTCCTCCCTCCTCCCTCCTCCCTCCTCCTCCTCCCTCCTCCCTCCTCCCTCCTCCCTCCTCCCTCCTCCTCCCTCTTCATCCTCCCTCCTCTCTCCTCCCTCCTCCCTCCTCCTGCCTCCTCCTCCTCACACTCCTCGCCCTCCCCTCCTGGGGTCGCCTACGGCCCCGCAGGAAACCGTCCAGGGGGGGGACAGCATCCGCTGCCCCGCCCTGCGGTCGGGGACCGACCGCCCCTCGGGCGCCGGGCGGGCCAGGCTCACGAGGAGGCTGTCCGCGCGGCGAGCCGGGTGCCCTCGGACCCCCTCGGCCGTGCTCGCAGCGGCGCCGACGGTTGCCCTCACTCCTGCGGGGAGCATGGAGGAGGAGGAGGAGGAGGAGGAGGAGGAGGAGGAGGAGGAGGAGGAGGAGGAGGAGGGGGATGGGAGGAGGGGAGGAGGGGAGGAGGGGAGGAGGAGGAGAGGAGGAGGAGGAGGAGGAGGAGGAGGAGGAGGAGGGGGAGGAGGGGGAGGAGGGGGAGGAGGAGGATGAGGAGGAGGAGGAGGAGGAGGAGGAGGAGGAGGAGGAGGAGGGAGGCGGAGGGGAGGACGACGAGGACGACGAGGACGAGGACGAGGACGAGGACGAGGACGAGGAAGGAGGGAGGAGGAGGAGGAGGAGGAGGAGGAGGAGGAGGAGGAGGAGGAGGAGGAGGGAGGAGGGAGGAGGGAGGAGGGAGGAGGAGGAGGGGAGGAGGGAGGAGGGAGGAGGAGGAGGAGGAGGAGGGGAGGAGAGGAGGAGGAGGAGGAGGAGGAGGAGGAGGAGGCGAGGAGGACGACGAAGAGGAGAACGACGAGGAGCAGGAGTACGTCTAGGGAGGAGGAGGAGGCGGCGGAGGAGGCGGAGGAGGTGGAGGAGTACGTCTAGGGAGGAGGAGGAGGAGGAGGAGGCGGAGGAGGAGGAGCCGACACAGCGAGCAGGCGCGGACCAAGGGGGCGGGAGAGGCTTGCTCGAAGCAGCTCCCGGATCAAGAGCGGCTGGCGGGGGGGCGCCTCGCCGCGACGCGCTGTGCACCTCGCGCTCCCCGAGGCGCCCCTGCGCCGAGCTCCGCCCAGGCTCCCACCCCGCGGAGCGGAGCGACTCGCTTTTCCGCTCGCGAGGCAGAGCGCGTCGCCGGGGCCGCCGCGGCGGCGCGCGCCGGGCAGCAGCTCCGGGCCGCGGGGCGAGAGAGAGAGAGAGAGAGAGAGCGGCAGGGGCGACCGCGACCGGGCATGCGCCGAGCGCACATGTCGGGCCGGACGAAAGGGGGGGATTGGGAAAGGGGGGGTTACGAAATATGCTGCATGCAGCTGGTTTCGGCCCCACGGAGGGGCCCATTCCTCGATACATAGTCGCCTCCGGCGCCGGGCGGCGCCGGGAAAATCAGCTAATTACGTGAGCTGATTCTCAGACCCCCCCTTTGCTCCCCCCCCCCTTCGCCCGACCCGAACATGGGGCCGGGCTGGGGGCGGGCGGGGGTCGACCTGGTGTGGCCGAGGCCGTTGCGCCTCCGCAGTCTCGTGACGGATCAGCATGCCTCGATCCTCGGGCCCCCGTCGACCCTTTGCTCGATGCTCGAGTGCCTCCTCGAGCAGCCTCGAGTCCCCGCAATCCTGGATCCGACTCTCGATCCCTCGGTCAGGATCGGAGCGCGGGTCGGCCCGGATCCGGCCGTGAGGGCTTCTGAGGCGGTGAACTTCAAGAGGCTCTGGATCGATGCGTTCCTGGGCTCCTTCGTGAAGAGGCTGCGCGTGCTGGTGCGCATCAGGCTGCAGCGCGCGAAGGGCTCGGAGGTGGGCTGGGAGAACCTGCGGGGTGCGCTCAAGGACGCGGTGCTGAAAGGCCAGTCTGCGCGGCGGCAGGCGCCCGGCCCCCCATCCCCGCCTTTCCCCTCCTGGGGAAGAGGGGACTCAGAAGGGGAAAACACACACAGACACAATCAATCGCCGATTCCCCAGAACACGTTGGAAAACATGGGAAGTGGAGGGGAAGACGAACATCCCCAAAAATGTGACAAAAACAAGTTGGGAATCCAGGGATCTGTGTGTGTATTTATTGGTGTGCCTCTGGGCCCCATTCAAAGACGCAGGAGGGAGCGTCGAGGAACCGCAGGCTGCACAAGCGTGCCATCTTGGACGTCCGCGCAGGTTGCTTGATCAGGTCGGGGCCGGCAGGGCCTCCAGCGCTCCCCGATTTTCTTATTTTTCAGCATTCAGTTGGGCCTGTCCCTCCAGGGGGAATGGTCAAACATAGTTTTAAAAAGTTGTGGGATGATTTTTGAGTATTGTTTGGCCATGTTTGAATATGTTGTGCGTAACTAGTTGTTTTAATTTTGCGTCGAACATCCCCCTGTAGGGCACGCCCGACTTCACCCCAGCACGCCCTGCGCGCCTGGAAGCAATGTCTGTGGAGGGGGGGGGGCGTGGCGGCGGTCGAGCGCCGACACAGGAGAGCCGCGCGGAGCTTCGAACTTCCTGTTTCTGCCGTTTGGTGTTATTCTAGGGGTGGGGGGGGAGAGGGCACTGGTGTTGAGTCGGGCTTGTCCCTATACATTAGGAATGTTCAAAAATAGACAAAACATATCGGGACGATGTTTCAACTATTTTTGCTATCCTGGCGCATCAAATAAAAATCCAAGAATCCGCCTGTAGGAGGACATGCCCGACCTAAAAGCAGTTTGTGTGGGGGGGGGTGCGTCGCTGCGGTCGAGCGCCGGCACAAGAGATCCGCGCGGAGCTTCGAACTTTGTGTTTCTGTCGTTTGGTGTTCTTCTGGGGTTAAGTCGGGCCTGTCCCTCTACAGGAGGAATGTTCAAAAATAGTCAAAAAAATAATATGAGGACGATTTTCCCATTATTGTCGGCTATGTTGGTGCATTGTTGTGTTAGTTGTTGTCCAAAATCCGTCTGTAGGAGGACATGCCCGACCTAAAAGCAGCTTGTGGGGGAAGGGGCGTGGCTGCGGTCGAGCGCCGGCACAAGAATCCGCGCTGAGCTTCGAACTTTGTGTTTCTGTCGTTTGGTGTTATTCTAGGGTTAACTCGGGCCTGTCCCTTGACAGGAGAGAATCCCCAAATAGTCCAAAAATAGTATGAGGACGATGTCACCATTATTGTTGGCTATTTTAGTGCATTGTTTTGTTATTTGTTGTCCAAAATCCGTCTGTAGGAGGACACTTGCCCGACCTAAAAGCAGTTTGTGGGAGAAGGGGCGTGGCTGCGGTCGAGCGCCGGCACAAGAGATCCGCGCGGAGCTTCGAACTTTGTGTTTCTGTCGTTTGGTTTTCTTCTGGGGTGAAGTCGGGCGTGTCCCTCTACAGGAGGAATGTTCAAAGAGAGTCAATCAAATGAAATGGGGATGACTTGTCCATTCGTTGTTTGCCATTTTGGTGTATTGTTTGCCTTGTGTTTTTTTCTCCCGAAACCCGCCTGTAGGAGGACATCCCCGACCTAAAAGCAGTTTGTGTGAAGGGTGGGGCGTGGCTGCGGTCGAGCGCCGGCACAAGAGATCCGCGCGGAGCTTCGAGTTTGATGTTTCTGTCGTTTGGTTTTCTTCTAGGATTAAGTCGGGCCTGTCCCTCTACAGGAGGAATGTCCAAAGAGATTCAATCAAATGAAATGGGCGTGTCCCTCTACAGGAGGAACATCCAAAAGTTGTTTGAAAAATAGTCCGGGGACGATGCTTTGAGAATTGATTCGCAATTTTTGAGAACGGTTTGACATTTTTTTCATTTTTCGCCCCAAATCCGCCTGTATGGGGGCATGCCCGACCTAATTCTAGGGGTGGTGGTGTGCGCAACATGTTCTTGGGCTCCATGGAGGTGCTGCTCCGCAAGGGGGCCCTGCCGACCACCGTCGACCAGAACGCGCCGGCCGTCCTGTCCATGCTGCCCGACCAGTGGGTCCCCGACATCGGGCTGCCATCTGGGTGGACAAGCTCATGCCAGGAGGGGGAAAAACACGCAGACACTATGAATCGTCAATCCCCAGGAAAATATGGAAAAGCATGGGAAGTGGTGGGGAAGGCGAAAACCCAGCAAACATGGATAAGTATGGGGAATCCTGGGATTCTTGTCTATTTGTTTGTGTGTGCCTGGGTCCCTTCCTCGTGCCCACACGGCCAAGACGCTGAAGCAAGGCGCAGGTCGGGTTCGGACGTTGCTCGCCGTTCTGGAGGTGCTCCCACGGCAGTTCTTCCGGGAGGCTCCCTCGGTGCACCCCGGGCGCTGCTTGGGCCAAGGAGGGGCTTCGCTCCGTACCTGGTGTTCCCTTGTGGCAGCAGCCTGGCTGTAGCTCCACCTGCTCCACCTGCTGCCCGCACTTCTCCTCCTCCCTCCTCCTCCTCCTCCTCCTCCTCCTCCTCCTCCTCCGCCTCCTCCTCCTCCTCCTCCGCCTCCTCCTCCTCCTCCTCCTCCTCCTCCTCCTCCGTCCTCCTTCTTGGGCGCGGGCGGGGGCATGCCTTTGTCCTCCCAGCCATTCGCCAGCGGCATCGGCCGGGGCTTCTTCTCCCGCCTGCGGCGCGGCTTCCGCAGGGGGCGCAGGCGGCGGCACGTGCGGCCGCGGTTCGAGACCTGGGACCTGGAGGACGTGCCGAGCTTCGTCCTGGACTACGCCCGCGAGCAAGGATCGGGGCCCGAGCCGAGGTCAGGATTCCTCCCCCTCCACCGCCTGGGGCAACCAGCCTTCCTGGACCTCGGTAGCCTGTGGATGTGGATCTATAGTCGGGCCCCCCTGGGGTCCCAGGACGTCGTCTCCTCGGGCGGTGGATGTAGACAACTGCCAGCTCGCACCCGATTTCTGGGCGCGCGTCCCAGAAGTTCTGCTGGCCACTGCGAAGTTCCCCCGTTGCCTTTTGCCCCGGCGGCATGCGGGTGTTCGGCCCCTGCCCCCCTGCACGCGCGCGGGGCTGTGAGCGCGAGGCTGCCTCGGCGCGTGGTATTCAAGACGTGCTCGGCAAGCTGGCCCAGGTCCGCCAGATCGGCGCCGTGCCCGGGGGCGAAGTGAGAAGGGGCGGGCCCTCTCAGAAGGCTCGGAAGCCCCCAGGCCTTCTGAGAACTTTCCTGAGCCTTTCTTTAAGTCGGGCACGTCCCTCTACAGGACGGATCTTCAAACACAGGCAAAAAGTAGTGCGGGGACGATTGTTTGACTATGTTTGTATTTTTGAACACTTCTCGGCTACTTTCCCATTTGTCCTCCAACACCCGCCCGTAGGAGGACATGCCCGACCGAAGCCTTCCCCGAAGGCGCAGAGAACCCCTCAGAAGGCCCGAGGGCCTCCGAGGAGTCCCGCCGCCTTCTGAGGAGGCCTTCTCCTCCTCCTCCCTTGCCCCCCTCGCTCGCCGCCGATCCTTTGGGACCCCCGGCCGCGCCCGCGGAGAACAGGGAGCCTCCTCTCCTCGTCGCCTCTGCTGCGCAGGCCGGCCGCGGTGTGGCGCAGCACCCCCCTCTCCGAGCGCACTCGGCCGCCCCCCGCCTCGGAGCCAACCTCGGCGACGACGACGACGACGACGACGACGACGACGACGACGACGACGACGACGACGACGACGACGACGGGGCGCCGTCGCCCCGCGAGACGCGGGCGCGACGACCCGCAGGCTCCCTTCAGAAGGGGCGGGCCGTCTCAGAAGGGGCGGGCCATCTCAGAAGGCTCGGAAGTCCCCCTCGCCTTCTGAGAAGTCTTCGAAGCCTGCCCCGAAGACACAAAGAAAAACTTCTCGGGAGGCGCGAGGGCTCCTGAGGAGCCCCGCCGCCGTCTGCGAGGGTCGTCTCTCCTTCTCGTCATTCTCCCCCCCCCCCGCTGGCCGCCGCCGACAGCCTGGCATCGCTCGGACGTGTGCACTTTTCCTTCTGCGAGGGCCATCGAGGAGCATCCTTGATCATTTGGCGAAAAAGCCACGCACGAAACCGAAATTATCCCGGCAAAGCAACCTAACAGCGATGTGTAGAAGCATATCTGAAAGCATTCCCCTTAAGATTCAGATGAAAATCCAGTTGTAGAATTCTGCTGTTCTCGCAGTCGTAGTCGCATTCGCGATGACAGTCGCAGCGGCAACGGCAGTCGCAGTCACAGCCTCAGCCTCAGCCTGCCTCAGCCTCAGCCTCAGCCTGCCTCAGCCTCAGCCTGCCTCAGCCTCAGCCTCAGCCTGCTTCAGCCTCAGCCTCAGTCTGCCTTCAGCCTCGGCCTCAGCCTCAGCCTGCCTCAGCCTCAGCCTGCATCAGCCTCAGCCTCAGCCTCAGCCTGCCTCAGCATCAGCCTGCTTCAGCCTCAGCCTCAGCCTGCCTCAGCCTCAGCCTCAGTCTGCTTCAGCCTCAGCCTCAGTCTGCCTTCAGCCTCGGCCTCAGCCTCAGCCTGCCTCAGCCTCAGCCTGCCTCGGCTGCAGCATCAGCTTGCCTCAGCATTCAAAATGTGGCCCAGGAGTGGAGTTCTGGGAACTAGAAGAACACGAAGTGGCCTACAGTTGGCTCCGGGCATTCAAAATCATGCCCAGGAATAAAGTTCTGGGAACTTGAAGAGCACGAAGTGGCCTACAGTTGGCTCCGGGCATCCAAAATGTGGCCCGGGAATGGAGTTCTGGGAAGTCGAAAAGCACGAAGTGGCCTACAGTTGGCTCCGGGCATCCAAAATGTGGCCCGGGAATGGAGTTCTGGGAAGTCGAAGAGCACGAAGTGGCTTACAGGTGGCTCCGGGCATCCAAAATGTGGCCCGGGAATGGAGTTCTGGGAGCACCAAGAGCGATTTTGCGAGGATGTCCAAGGCGATTTCGGCTTCGGCGGCAGCCTCCCTGGGTCCCGCCCAGATCCCCCTGAGGAGTCATGATGCTCTCTTTTGACACCACTAGAAACCTATCAGCAAGAGCTGTTAGGTAAAAAACACAGGCAATGGACGTCCGAGCGATGGCGAGACAGCCCTGGAGAGGAATCTGGCAGTCGGGGGTCGTCGCCGCCGCCGTGGGCGACACGATCGCCCGGGACCTGGGCATGAAGCTGGGGTGCGCCGTCGGCCACGTCTGGGGCATCACCGGGGCCGTGCTCGGCCGCGCGCCCTCGCCGGGGGAGGCGCGCCGGGAGGTGGCCGGGGGCCACCTGGAGAACCGCGAGGAGGGGCAGCGGCGCCATGGGGCCCCAGACCCCCTCGAGGCATGAAGAAATCACGACGCGAGGTTGTTCACTATGTTCGGCCTCCGGGGGCCCTTACCGGCCCTCGAGGGACCGTCAAAAAGCGACTCGGGATGAAAAGCCGGTCCCGGGGAATGGGTCCAGACCTCTGTTGGTGGTCTCCAAACCAGGTGGTGAGACACCCGGTGGTGACCCCGATTCCCCAAAGAAATAATTCTGGGTCACCACCGGGTTTGGGGACACGCGGTCGCCACGAGGTTTTGTTCCTGGGCCAGCCAGCGCTCGAAAATCATTACCCAAATCGCCCAAAACTCACCACCGGGTGTTCTCACCACCACGTTCGGGGACCCAAACGTGGTGGTGAGAACACCATGGTGGGTCACCATGGAAACACCCTCGGTGGGTTCGCGTCATGGAAAAATCATGTCGTCGAGGGGGTCTGGGGCGGGGGCTCGGCCACGCGCAGCGGCGGCAGGCCGGCCACAATTGGGGGAGCCGTGGTCCTTAATTGCCCCCCTGGGGGTCCCATCGATGTCGGCCCTCTCGAGAGAGGTCGTCGACGCGACGGGTTCCCCCAGGTGGGTCATGGAGGATGACGATTAATAAATGACCGGGGGTCGTGTTCACGCGGCGGCGCCAGGGGTGACGATTAGAAAAATCCGGCCGCGGGCTGGAAAACTATGTTTCAATCGTTCTCCTCCAGTCAGAAAATTGTGCAGTAAGAGGAGAAAGCTATTGTTTAAATCGTTCTCTCCCATTTGTTTTCTTAATCGTCATCCCGCATTAAGGACCACAGCTCCCCCAGTTGTGGCTGGTCGGGGTGGGGGGCAGAGGGGAAGGGGGGAGGAATGCTTCTTCGAAGCCACGCCTGCCTCTGAGCAGGCGCGGGCCGGACCTGCAGATGCGAGGCTGGCGCTCTCTGTCAGGAGCGGCCTCCCTCTAGGGAGCCTTCCCCCCTCCCTCGTATGCCCCCCTGTGCGCGCCGCCAGGAGACGATCGGGGCTTGTTGGACAGCGTGACGTTTCGCCGGTTCTGGCCCATCCTGTTTGGGCACGACGCGATATCTACAACCCCGCCCCCGAGCGTCAACGTCCCGAGCCTTTCCGAACCCCTGCGAAGCGGAGCGACACGCTACCCGCTCGCATGGCACAGCGTGTCACGGGGGCCGCCACGGTGACAAGCTAAGCAGACGCTAACAAGGGAAACGCTGACCGCCGTCCCAGGCTTCGTGGAGCTTTCGACTGGGCCTAAAGTTTTGGGCCCAACCCTGGGATATACGAGGGGGGGCGTCCATCCTCGATTGGGGTGCGTCCGATTACCCCCCTGGGGGTGTATCCCAGGGTTCCCCTCCTTTCTCTTGGCCGCTTCATTTCTCGTCGACAGGCCGGGGGTTGGGATAGAGACATCGCTTGCAGACGTTCCCGACCGTAGCTCGGGGGTGGGGGGGGGGGGGGGGCAGATCCAGGGGCTCCGCTCGCCCTTTGTCTTCCACGAGGCTCCAAGCGGACACGTGCAGTGCCCCTCCTGCCCCCGCCGGGAGGAGCTGCTGGAGCTGAGCCGCTACGAGGCGGGCGACGGCGACGACGACTGACCGCCGCGGGAGGGCCCTCGGGTGCCCCTCGCGCCGCCCGCAGCGGCGTCCAGCGGCAGAGGGGCCGCGCAGCCGCGCGGCGCCTCGGGAGTTGCGCCGCATCCTCCTCCTCCGCCTCCTCCCCTCCTCCTCCTCCTCCTCCTCCTCCTCATCCTTCTGCTCCTCCTCCTCCTGCTCCTCCTTCTCCTCCTCCTCCTCCTCCTCCTCCCTCTGCCTCCTCCCCCTCCTCCTCCTCCTCCTCCTCCTCCTCCTCCTCCTCCTCCTCCTCCTCCTCCAGCCGCTCTCGGGCCAGCCTCGCGCCGCCCTGCCGGGCACGACGACGCGCGAAGAGTGGCCCTTCGCCGGAGGGACTTTTGGGTGCGGGCCCATTGGGGCCCCCCGATCGCCGAACGCGGTTCTGTAGTAGCGTGAAGTCGGGCACTTCTCTCTACAGGAGGAATATTCAAAAATAGACCAGACACGCTCTGGGGACGATTTTCAATTTTTTGTTGACTACTTATGTGCATGACTTGATCATTCCCAACCATCCTGTGGTTTTGGGTCCTCGTTTTGAAAAGACAGCGCCCGCGTCCTCCTTGCTTCTCCTCTCGCTGCCTCCCCTCCTCCCCCTCCTTGCCTCTGCCCTCCGTATGTCTCTCTGTTGGCACACCCCTCACACGCTTCGTGGCAACATAGGGAGCTCCACCTAAGGTCCCAGTGGCGGAACTCGCATGCGGTCCCCGCATCCATTTCGGCACACCCCTCACACGTTTCGTGGCCCCATAGGGAGCTCCAACTACGGCCCCAGTGGCGGAACTCGCATGCGGTCCCCGCACCCATTTTGGCACACCCCTCACACGCTTCGTGGCCCCATAGGGAGCTCCAACTACGGCCCCAGTGGCGGAACTCGCATGCGGTCCCCGCACCCATTGTGGCACACCCCTCGCGCGTTTCGTGGCCCAAGAAGGAGCTCCACCTAAGGTCCCAGTGGCAGAACTCGCATGCGGTCGCCGCACCCGTTTCGGCACACCCCTCACACGTTTCGTGGCAACATAAGGAGCTTCACCTAAGGTCCCAGTGGCGGAACTCGCATGCGGTCCCCGCACCCATTTTGGCACACCCCTCACACGTTTCGTGGCCCCATAGGGAGCTCCACCTAAGGTCCCAGTGGCGGAACTCGCATGCGGTCCCCGCACCAATTTCGGCACACCCCTCACACGTTTCGTGGCCCCATAGGGAGCTCCACCTAAGGCCCCAGTGGCGGAACTCGCATGCGGTCCCCGCACCCATTGTGGCACACCCCTCACGAGGACCGTGGCCCCGTAGGGAGCTCCACCTAAGGTCCCAGTGGAGTGGCGGAAGTCGCATTGCGGCCTCGGGCCATTTCGGCACACCCCTCACACGTTTCGTGGCTCCAACGGAGAGCTCCAACTACGATCCCAGTGGCGGAACTCGCATGGCGGCCTCGGGCCATTTCGGCACACCCCTCACGCGTTTCGTGGCCCCATAGGGAGCTCCACCGAAGGTCCCAGTGGCGGAACTCGCATGGCAGCCTCGGGCCATTTCGGCACACCCGTCACACGTTTCGTGGCCCCATAGGGAGCTCAACTTAAGGTCCCAGTGGCGGAACTCGCATGGCGGCCTCGGGGCATTCGGCCACACCCCTCACACGTTTCGTGGCCCCATAGGGGCGCCGTCCTCGTCGTCGCCGGCGCCCGCGAAGACGGCCGCGAACGTGTCCCTGAGCATGTCGGGCTCCAGCGGCGCGGCAAGCCGTTGCACGCATAGGGAGCTTGGGCGAAGATGGTATTCACAATTGCGGTACTCACAACTGCGTATGGTTGGGTCCTTCGCCAGGCGTTTTTTTTTTATCTTTTTGTTCAAATCCGCCTGTAGGAGGACATGCCCGACCTAATGGTAGTAGCGTCTTGCGCGCTCGCGTCGGGTCCCCCCATCGGCCCCCCAAGAGCCGCGCACCAAAGGTCAGCCTTGCCCGGGGCCGCTCCTGCTTGTGGCCGCCTGGCCCCCTCCGCGCCTCGCGCGGGCCTCGCGGGCTCTCGCCTGCCAGGCCCGCGTTGCCCCGGCTGGCCTGGCGCCGCCCTGCCTCGTCTTGCGCTGTCTCGTCTGGGGCCTCGTCGGCCGTGGGTCGTGCACCGGCCAAGCTTATACCGCTCCTCGCCACGCTTCCCTGGTCTCGCGAGGCGCAGTCTTGCCGTCTTGCCACTGCTCGCTCTGCCTTGCCCTGATTCTCGTCGTCCTGGACTGCAGTGCGTGTTTGCCGTATCGTGTTCTGCTTGAGGTGCCATGTGACGCTCTGGAATACGATCACGCGCGCTGTTCTGCCTCGGCAGACAATGCGTGATGGTTTGCTCTGCCTAATCGTGCCTCACCTTGCTTTGCTTTGGCGGCTCGCCTTGCCATGCCTCGTGCATCCTTTTGCTGGCCCACTGTAATGCACCATGTGTCGATATCGCACCACATGCATACGTTCACGTACACACATGTATGCATGTATGCATGTGTGCATTCTGTGTACATACATTGCCGTGCCATAGATCTCCCCACAGGTCGCACCCTACATAGTTTCCCTTGCCTGTTGGTTGAAATGCTGCCTGCGCTGCAAAGCATGCGCCGAATGAGAGCAGTGCAGCATTCACGTACGTCGTTTCATCGGCACTTCAGCATCATATGCAGAGGACTGCGTCAATCTCTGCCGCGTTCCAGACAGGGCCTCGCACTCGAGGAATTTCCAGAGGCTTGCACATCTTCCTCGGCCGAAGGCCGGCGGAATCCGACGGCAGTGAAACGGGGCTGCCTCCGCCGTCGGAAGTTTGCGGAACGAATGGCACGAGATGGCATGTGTTTTGATCCAGAGTTTCAGGCACCCGCCATATCTACATGTATGTCGCGCAGGCCCATGGCTCGCCAATTATATATATATATATATATACATATATATATGTATGTGTGTGAGTACATATGTCAGCCAGCGTGGACCCCAAACAGTGTGTGGTTTAACCACCTATGTGGTACTAGCTATGTGGTGCAATCTATGTGGTGAAGCCAATCACTTGCTCAACTTGAAGCTGTCCTGTTCACTGCTCGCGCAAACATCCCACCCTCCCACCCGCAACTTGGTTTGCAAAACCTCTTAAGACCGACTACGACGACACCGACGAGAACGACTAGGACGACACCGACGACGTCTCCGACGACTTCGACGACGACAACGACGCCGACGCCGACGACGACGAAGACGACGACGACGACGCCAACGAAAGCGGCGACCAGGGAGG